AGTCCTAAAATGGGGCGAAGCTCACTTAACACACGTCTCACTTAACAGCACAAATTTTAGGCCCAGTGGTCGTCGTAAGTTGAGGACCACCTGTGTTATGGGAACGCCATGATTTCTAGGAACCAACTGGAGGGGTGACTGCCGGGTAAACGACAAATACTGTTTTAAAAGTATCGTTTTGACCTTGATTACTCAGCCTCAAGAGGGTTAAGATGAATTTAGCCCCAGAAAACAAGAGGACTAGAATCTTGCAACATAAACAATTTCTTAAGAGAGAGAGAGGGGATGGGGTGGGGAAAGTTCAAAGGATTTCATCACTAGAGGCTTTTAAGGAGAGACTTGTCTGAAATGGTATAGGGTCTCCTGCCTGAGCAGGGGGGCTGGACTAGACGACCTCCAAGGTCCCATCCAGCTCTATTCTGATGGACTGACTTTATTTCGGTCGCTGACCAGCCTTAAGGGGAGGAGTTAATTTTCAAGAATATGATTTCATTTTTCCATTTTAACGTTCTCAACGCGAAGGTTACCCCTACCACATGGCTGTTGCTTTTTTTTATCTCTTAAAAGTTCTTTAAAACGCATTAGCAAAGGTAGCCAGCGCATTAATATTCCTCTTTTCCATTCTCTGGAAACAACTCTGTAACATTTAGCGTGCATTAGGATCATGATGCACTTAAAGCATTTCCTTGTTGAAGGCAACAGGCCGTGATCCACTCATAAATTGGTGCCTGTATCGGTAGCTCTCTATAGGATCTACAAACGGTTCTCGTCTTACGTCCACAATGGAGCCCAAAATTTACGGTTCATGAGCGATATTCTCCTTCCCTGGACATAATGTGCTGGAGTAATGGCTATCCTCTCCTATCCTTTTTTACAATCATGGATGCTTCTTCCCTTTTAAAAAATCTAATTAAGCAGCTATTTCAATAATTCATCTTCCTGTTTTGAGTAGTTCGTTCTCTAATGTTTAAGGACAATCGAGTGGATACTTCAAAGTGGAGTTATTCTGGTGTCCATCTTCTCCTTTTAGTTACAAGCCAGAAGCATTAGAAGAAATAATTCTGTTTTTCTTATCTTGCTAGCCACTATTAGTCTGCTCAACTGTATACAATGTGCACGTAACGCTATGAGGTTTATAATTATAAATTTGGAAGGGACCTTGGAGGTCTTCTAGTCCAACCCCCTGCTCAGGCAGGAAACCCTATACCATTTCGGACAAATGGCTATCCAGTCTCTTCTTAAAAACTTCCAGTGTTGGAGCATTCACTGCTTCTGGAGGCAGGTTGTTCCACTGGTTAATTGTTCTAACTGTCAGGAAGTTTCTCCTTAGTTCCAGGTTGCTTCTCTCCTTGATTAGTTTCCATCCGTTGCTTCTTCTCCTGCCTTCAGGTGCTTTGGAGAACAGCTTGACTCCCTCTTCTTTGGGGCAGCCCCTGAGATACTGGAACACTGCTATCATGTCCCCCCTCATCCTTTTCTTCATTAAACTAGACATACCCAATTCCAGCAACCATATGTTTTAGCCTCCAGTCCCCTGATCATCTTTGTTGTTCTTCTCTGCACTCTTTCTAGAGTCTCAATATCTTTTTTACATCGTGGTGACCAAAACTGGATGCCGTATTCCAAGTGTGGTCTTACCAAGGCATCGTAAAGTGGTATTAACAACACTTCATGTGATCTTGATTCTGTCCCTCTGTTAATGCAGCCTAGCAGTGTGTTGGCTTTTTTTGGCAGCTGCAACACACGGCTGGCTCATAGTTAAGTGATTGTCCACTAGGACTCTGAGATCCCTCTCACAGTTGCTACTATTGAGCAAGGTACCCCCTATACTATACCTGCACATTTGGTTTTTCTTGCCTAAATGTAGAACCTTACTTTTCTCACCACTGAATTTCATTTTAGTTGTGCTTTGACTTTCAGCAAAGTCTAAATGTGAGGCAGTTTAGGACAGGGAGATGCGACAGACTCAAAACTTTCAGCGTTAAGTCTAAATTCCAAAACGGTCTTAAACGAAATGATCTAAATGTCTTGTTTGATAGAAGGCAGATCCTCTCTTCTTATTCTAGAACTAAGGAGAAATTTTCCCACTGTTGGAACAATTAATCCGTGGAACAACTTGCCTCCAGAAGTCGTGGACGCGACTTGGATAACAACTAACTACACAGGCAGTCCTCAACTAACAAACATTTGTTTAAGTGACCGATCAGAGTTACAACGGCACAGGAAAAAAAGTGACTTATGACCGTGTTTCACACTTAACGACCGTCGCTGCCTCCCCACGGTCACGTGATCCAAATTCAGTTACGCTTGGCAACTGACTCACATTTACGACGGTTGCAGTGTCTGGGGTGTGTGTGTGTCACGTGTTCCTCTTTTGCCACCTTCTAACAAGGTGGGAAGCCCAATCCCCTTAACAACTGTGTCACTAACTTCACAACAGCAGTGATCTGCTTAACAATTTTGGCACAAAAGGTCGTAAAACGGGGCAAAAATCACTTCTGCTTAGCCACAGAAACGTTGAACTCAAGGGTGGACACTACCTGCATTTATATGTGGGTTGACCTGTTTGCATTTCAAAGGCTGAAATGCAAATCCGTTAAATTAAAATACCCTTCTTGCTTGGTCCAAAATACGTGGAAGGATGGAAACGGCGAAATTGTTTTTTGTGGCAAGACAAAGAGGGGGAAAAAAAATGAAGATTGTCTATTAAAAATATGCGCTTGCCTTTCCAGAATAACCACAGGAAGACAAGCCAGCCAGTGAAACAGACAGAAGGATGGAAATGAGTAAATATTTTTTTCCCACAAGGTTATAACAGGACAAAACTATGTGGACAGAGACAAGGTGACGTGAAGGGTTAATACCACTTTACAATGCCTTGGTAAGACCACACTTGGAATGCTGCATCCAGTTTGGGTCACCACGATGTAAAAAAAGATGTTGAGACTCTAGAAAGAGTGCAGAGAAGAGCAACAAAGATGATCAGGGGACTGGAGGCTAAAACCTACGAAGAACGGTTGCTGGAATTGGGTATGTCTAGTTTAATGAAGAGAAGGACCAGGGGGGACATGATAGCAGTGTTCCAATATCTGAGGGGCTGCCCCAAAGAAGAGGGAGTCAAGCTATTCTCCAAAGCGCCTGAAGGCAGGACAAGAAGCAACGGATGGAAACTAACCAAGGAGAGAAGCAACCTAGAACTAAGGAGAAACTTCCTGACAGTGAGAACAATTAACCAGTGGAACAACCTGCCTCCAGAAGCAGTGAATGCTCCAACACTGGAAGTTTTTAAGAAGAGACTGGACAGCCATTTGTCTGAAATGGTATAGGGCTTCCTGCCTGAGCAGGGGGTTGGACTAGATGACCTCCAAGGTCCCTTCCAACTCTGTTATTTTGTATACCCTGCAAGGGCTGAATCTGGCAACTGTTGGCAACTTCTACTCCAAAGCACCAAAGGGCAGGGGAAGAAATAATGGGTGAAAGCTTGTTAAGGAGAGATCCAACCTAGAATTTAAGGAAAAATGTCCTGACAATAAGAACAATGGAATCAATGGAAGAGTTGGCTTCCTGGAGTTATGGGTGCTCCATCGCTGGAGGTTTTCAAAAGTAGACTGAACAAGATAAGGTCTCCTGCCTTGAACCGGGGTTGGACTAGAAGACCTTTGAGGTTCCCTCCAGCGCTAGGATTCTACATTCTATGGTGCTTCATTCATGAGAGAGATCTAACATGTCAACATAGTTCAATTGCTATCAAAAGAAAGGGCGTGTATCCATTAATTTGAAAAGGAAGAGAAATCTCAGGAGATCAATTCTGGATCACAAACCTATCTAAAAAGTTTGAATTTGTTGAACTGTAGACTACTGGGCATAAAGGTTCATTATTTGTCAGCAATAAGAAACTCATTTAGTCGTTAAGAGTCTTCTCAAAGTTTGAATGTGGCAAGCATTTGGAGAGTCAAAACTTTTTTAAAAAATTCTGGTGTAATGCCAGAGAATATATGGCTTTTTTTTTTTTTTTTGGGCCAGGACTGAAATTTGAGGGAAAAATAAAAGCAAACTGGAGGGATTATGGACAGTTTAGCTTATGTACAGGACACACCCTTTGTATTAAGACTGAGCAGTAATCTCAAAAAATAGACAATAGCAAAGATTGTTTTAGTAGCATCGCTTATTTCACGGAATCATATATATATATATTTTTGCAATCAAGCAATCTACACGCAGAAGAAGAGGTCCAGGAGCGAGTTAAATTCTTGACATTTGCAACCCCACAGATCCTTGATAAACAATCCATGTTTTTCTTTAGTATAGTTAGAGACAATCATGTATATGTGTGTGTGTGTATATATATATATATCTTTGAAATTCTGGCTCAGCTTTTCAGTCATTTTGTGTCCCTGAAGGAACATTGGGAGAAAAAAAAAATATGTTTTAATTCGGTGTTGTAAAAATTCGAGTTGATTAACGCGGAAACTCAAAGTTGCATTGAAATGTATGAAGCTTTGGAGAGTGGGCAAAACGTCACACAAAACCACCCTAACCTTTAGTACTCTCCAGTGCCGGCTTCATATAAAATGAATGAAAAGGCTACGAAATCTTAGCAGCACTTAACGCATACAGCTTTACCGTTTTGTGTGTGTGTGTGTGTGTGTGTGTGTTTTGCTCTGCACGGCTCTGTCTAAGGAATTATTTTATCCTCCAGAGCTTCCGCTAACAATGAAAGGCTACTTTTTTGGAAACCAACAGGAAGGACCAGCTTCAAATCAAACCCTGTTAAAACAAGGTTTCGTGCAACCGTTGTCAATTTGCACCCCACGCCTTTAGAAGCCAAGGTTGTTAACAACAAGGGCTCTGCAACTTCAAAGAAAGCTATCGCTCCGAGGGGAGGCATTTATGACCCTCCAGCTGTGATCTCCAACGGAATTTCTCTTCTCTTCCAAAACCCAACCTCATCTCCTGGGAGGACAACGGAAGATCAAAGCAAGGGAGAAGGTCCTACCTACCTTTGCTACCCAGTTGAACAGGGGTGACATCCTAACAAGAGCAGACCCAACAGTGGGTGACCAGCTCCGGTGGCAACTGTCTTCTCCTCTTCTTGATCAGAGCTTGCTCTTCCACATCTGTCTCAAGCATCAGC